CAATGTTTTTCACTATGAAAAAAACACTCAAATTTTCTGTACAAATTTAAGGTACTGTTTTGGAACACACACACACAAATAATTTTAACCTAAGGTCCTAAAAAGGACTAAAAAAACAAATGTTTTACATAAAAAAATCTTTTATCTTTCCTCTTAATAATAGCACAAAGATTTTGATAAAATTTTGTTTTTATATTTTGGGCATTTTTTCATCATGTATCCTCTTTTTTAGCAAATTTTTGGAGTACTTACTTTTAGAATGGTTATTTCAAAAATATTGGTTACTTAGTAAAACAATTTTTGTTTTGTTGCTGATTGATTGTTTGCAAAACAAGTTTTAGCAATAAAAGAAAATTAGGAAAAAGTGGTCAATAGAAAAAAGGAAATAAAATAGAAGCAGTTAGAAATTTTGTAAAAGGTACTTTCTTTTACATAATTTTTTACGACTGTGTGTTATGGTTGAATGTTCCTTTCCTCTGGAAAGTTGAAAGGGGAAAAGCAGAAATTGCTTTTTGTTATGTAAAAAGGTAAAAATGAGTACTAAAGTTACACTTTTGTTTTTCTGTAAATTCAAATGGAAAGTAAATATATAGAGAGGAATATTTAAGTTATTAACCTTTATGTGACACACAAAATCTAAGTCTTCTTCATTTATCATGTCATGAAACAAGTGCTCAAGAAATATTCTTGCTTGGATTGCTTGAATATAGTGAAAGTTGAGTTAATCCTATCTCCTTCTGTATAGAATATGAGTATAAATGAAAAGGTCAATAGGTCACCAGAATAGACTTGCAAAAACCTGATAAGGTCTGTTATTACTTTATGAGGAAGTTTTGCAATTCTATTCAATATTATTTGAAACTTTTAATATTTAGTATGTACACAGAAAATTATTTGAACCATGATATATAGATGGCAGGGTTCCCAGAAAAAATCTGACCTAAATTAAAATGCTCTAAGCCTTTACTGTTGGCTGACAACAGACATAAGAACAGAAATATAAGGGTGAGTGTGAAAGTAAGGACTCCTATTTTATGTTGGTCTATAAGGTCAGAGGAAGATGTAATATAGCAGTAGAGACTGAACATTTATAAAATATATTAATTTTATTTTTTTTAATTTTTATCTCATTACAGATAGTAACTGAGGGCTAGTCTAACAAAATGACATCCGAGAAGTATGTAAGAAGTAGAAATGTTATTGAATTCTTCCATGCAGGGAAGAAATTGTACATATGCCGAACCTTCACAAAGACCAATCAATGGATGTGAGCACAGGTAGTGCATAATGCATTTCAGTAGTGGTAACAATTATATTTGCTAAACCAGCTTTCTGGTGAAGAATGCATAACCAATGGTGGTGATTGTGGAAAAATATTATTTTGTAACTTCAAATTTGCTCTAACAGTGTTATTGTGCTTCCTGTATCTGTTGTAACTTCCATGGAAATAAACAGGAGGCACTAATTTTAGAGCACCTTTTCAGACATATTACTCACTTTCTCTCTGCATTTTTCCTTTCAGAGTTTCAAATATTCCAAGCCTTCTTTTATCATTTTGCTCCCTATAATTAGAGTAATTAGAACATGTAACTAATACATTCTCAACATTCATCAGTAAAATCATGTCTTATTTGTGATGAAATTGTTCAGCTTTCACTGACATATTGGAGGATAATCATTACATTACAGTCAAGCACTCATCTGTTTCTTTCAAATGTTATTTTTCAATTGCTTATTACTTTACTTAGTTTCTAAAAAAATATCCCATTATTCTTATGTACCTCATTAATATTTGTCCCCAATGTATAACTTGCATTTGGAGCTGTCATTCTTCTTGCATTCCCAGTCACTATTGTTACTTAGAAAGGATGAGTTCATTAATAGTTGTTTTGACTGATCTGATTTGCATATCCTAATATTAGAGCCCGCTATGCAAACATTCATTACTTTTTGTGTTTGTCATGCTTTCTCAGTGTCTAATCTCATGAGTGGTAGACAGGAATACTATAAAGTTCATAGTCTGTTGTTACATAGTGAGAAATGCTTTTATATCTAAAATAGATTTTGAGGATGTAGTATTGCCATAGGTTATTATTTTTCAACTGATCAAATCAATTTCCTATTTACAAACATTTAATGTGGGTTATAAATTTTAATGTTAAAATTTAAAATACTTTCACATTTGTTGAATTTGTATAATATTGATTTTATTTTTTAACATTTACCTACAAAAAGTATTTTTCTTTTTCTCTCTTCCAGAGTGCATTGAATATTCACACATTTATCATACCAGCCCCATGTCTCGAGTGCATCTTGGTAGTGACAGAGATTTCATGGCTATTGTGGTCAACTTAAAAGAGCAGCGTTGTTTGCAAAAATGTTTGCAAACCATTAATATGGAGCAAACATATGCTACTAAAATCCTTGACCTAGACCACAGGATTCTTAAAATTTACTTCAAACGCTTAAAAGAAAAAGTTTCACGAATTCGGTCGAATTTATCAGCAGAAGAAATCCTTAACTTGAAAAAGTTAGAAACTGAAGGGAGGTTAAAAGCTTCTTATATTCCAGTTGCTTCTAACAGTTCATTGAAGATTGCCGCTGCTTATAGACGCCTCAAACTGCAGCCAAATATCACCACTAATGAAGTATCCAGTAAAACTGCTAAACATCCAGAAATATCAGGCAAATTTGATGTAAAATCTGATAGTCACATACAGTCTGATGAGGATCAAGTGAGAAATGAACCAACAAATGCTTTGTCTATTGCTACTATTGAGAATGAAAAGAGTAAACAGTTTCAGAAAAAGAAAAGGAAAGCTATTCAAATAGGACGGCCACTGACGTCATCACTGGCCAAAGAAAGATACAATTTATATCAGCCATTAAGAAGACCAAGCACAGCGCCACTATCTGCTCATGCACTTTTCTCATCTCATGGTGGAAAGGATGAATATGTTGGAGATACAAATCACTTGCAAGAAGATATAAGTGGTCATTTCTCACGAGATTGTGATATTGGCAGTAATTTAGGGGAAAATTTATATGAAGAGAAACGTAAAGAATGGTTGCAGTTTGAAGTGAATAAAGGTAAAATGCTTGACAGAAAAACAAAAGATTTTTTAGATCACCTGAATCAGTTTGTTGCCTGTCCACTCAGCAAACTTAACTCAGAAAATTCAGCTGACAGAGCAGGATTCATGCAAAAAATAGACCCTGAAAGAAACCTACCATCTACTAAAGCTCTATCTTTTGATTTCAATCAAAATGGAGTATCAAGTGATGAATACCAAGAAGAGTTAATGATTCTATGGAAAGATTTGAGTAAATGTCGTTATTTACGAGTGGCTGATGAACTGTTAGATTTATCAGGTGTAGTTAATCTGGCCAAAGATCAGATGAAGCACTTTGTTAATGTCCATGGGTTCAGTTTAGCAAATACTTTCAAGTCTTGATGATACAATTATTAACTTCTAATTTCTCTTTCTGACTTTTATTGGTTGGTGTGGGGAAACTTATATATATATATATCAGTTTCTTTTAGAAACAGTTGCTTTTGTTAGATTCCTTTTAGAGCAGCTGCAGTTTCACTAAAATAAAAATAGTGGAAGAGTCATTATTTAAAAAACATTATCAGGGGTTGGCATTTATAAATTTCACAAACTCCTAATACTCCCACCCCACTGTTATTCTTTGATGTCTTTTGATTTTTATCACTGTGGCATTTCTAGGAATCTTTAAAATAAAAGATGAGAAATTTCAATGAATAGATCAAGGAAGAGAATCATGTTGAAAAACGCCAAAAATAAAATTGTTATAAGCTTTATTTATGTTGGCAGCCTTCAGTTATAAAATATGTTGCTTTTTGTTCCTTTGTAAGACTGCATCAAATCACAGCAGCTGCATTTGTGGAAAGAAAGCTTGACAGCATCAAAGGAAGGAAGAAAAAAAAAATAAACTTCCCTCCTGGCAAATGTTTGAGAAAGCTCTAAAGATACCATCAAGATAATATCTCCTGCAAATAATTTGACTGGTTTTCCAAATTAAAAAAATAAAATAACTTTAAAAACCAACCACCACTGGTATCTGAAGTAAAGAAGTAAATCATCAATATTTTTCAAACTGTAATTATTGCTGTTGATTGTTAATGGAAGTGGGATCCTTGAAGAAGGAGCTGAATAACAATAACCCAATTTTTTAGGCCACAATCTTAGAAAGAAAATCTAAAACAAGATAGTTGTACAACTCTTTTTTAGCAGAAAAAAAACTACAGCAGAGTATAATTGTGAGTAATGATTTTGTTTCAAAAGTAAGTACGAGAATTAAATAAATAAGCTTCACATTAAGCAGAGTTCCTTAAATTTGCTACTAAAACCACAAAAATTTTGCCTAATAATAACTGAAAGAATTTTTAAAGCTTTGTTAGATTTGCTCCTTTTCAATGAGTGGAGAGGCAAAATTGTGTGGACAAGGAAAGCAGCGGTGTCAAATGCTTGATCTTTCTGAAATTAACTCATAAGACCTAAGTGAATGAAAAAAGTATAAAAAACAACACACTTGATCTTAATAAGAATTGATACAAATTTCATGAAGTCTCAAAATTTACAACTTGCCCTAGCTTTTTAATTTTAGATTTCATGAAGTTTTTCTTTTTCAATGGAAGAGACCAGTAATGGTGATCAACTAACATTTAATCAGCACCAAACTCCAGGAAAGGACCCTATTCTCTTCAGTTTTGTGATTGAGGCCCTTCAACAAGCAATAACTATGTATATCCTGACTAGTACAGCCAAACATCAAACAGGTCACTAATAACTTAAACCACTAATCAAGCTATCTTTTTAGCAGTTAATGGGCATCAGTTAAATAATATGCAAATAAACTATTCCAATGCTTTTTCTTTTAAGATTGTTTAAAAGAAAATGGCTGCTTTCCTCAGTTCTGATATGTGAACATGGTTGTTTTACCCCCAGCTGTAATGAGGAGGTATTGACCTTTTGTTAAGAGGTCAACTTGATATTTGTTTGATACTGAGTGTCTTCTGATAATGTGTTACATGAAGAGACACTTTGCACAAGGTTGGGATGTGAGGTTGACTGACTGCTTCCCTGCACAAATGATCTGAAAAACAACCAATAGATACAATAAATTACTTTGAAAATGTTATTAATAATAAAATTGATAAAAATATAAAGAAAGGAAATGTAATTGGATAGACTATATATCTAAACAAATTAAAAAAAAAATTAATTTAAAGATTTAAAATTTCAGTATTTCCTCTCCTTGTGTGTATTTGTAGTTACATCAATGCCAGCATCACTTTAGTTCAATGAAGTCCTTAAGGATGAAATGTGTGACATGAAAACAATTTTCCACTTTGTCTTTAATTTTTCTTATATATATATATATATATATATATATATATATATATATATATATAGGAAATCAGCCAATTCTGTTACCTTGGCTTCAACCTTTTGGTATCTTCAGGCAGTTTTGGTCAATTGATTCCCTAATGCTTTATTTAACAAAAAAAATTATGAACGCTATATTATTTAAAAATAAGCAGATGACATGAGGTGTGGTAGAAGGTGAGGAGGAGGAAGAAAGCAAGTCTATTGGAAATATATTGGTGAATAAATGAAATATACATACTTTCTTTTCATCCTACTTCATATGAATTGAAAAGGAACTTTTTATTATGTATACAATGGGTAATAATTTCTGATCTCTCATTCAAAAGATTTTTTTTGTCTGGAAATGTTATTATAGAGTAAAAAAAAGTTAGCTATGATAATATTTCCATATATATATATATATATATATATATATATATATATATATATATATATATATATATATATAAAAAGTGAACATAGAAGTCAACACTTAGAGTTGACAGTCTGTTTCATGCTAGATGCAATCGTCAGACCTAACGATTGCATCTAGCATGTAATCGTCGTGACCTGACAATTGCATCTAGCATGAAACAGACTGTCACATCTAAGTGTTGATTTCTATGTTCATTTTTATATTTACACATGCTCTATCTCTGATATTGAGCACTTTATCCCATGAATATAGCACATCTTAAGACTATATTTCTTCATATATATATATATATATATACTATAATTATTTTCTTTTTAAATATATGATTCCATTGCAACACAGAAAATTTCCATATTTCAAAACTGAAAGTAAATTATACTTAAAATACATAGTCTTGTTCCATTGTCAAGCGATGATAGGAATAAACTTTCAAAGAAATCTGCTTAATTTATAAATGCTGACAGTATTGATATGCATACTTCCATTATTCAGTGAGTCATCTGAGTTTTCAATGATAAAAAAAACATTTTTAGGCATTTTCATTCATCTGCTTAATTCATATTTTTATACACAAAAACTTTCTAAAAGGGTCATTTAAATATGTGCAAGACATTATTAATACTTAAATTTTATTAATTAGATTTTATTCCAATAGATTTAAAGTATCATTTGACCTTCAAATAACTAATAGACTTCACATTATTTGAAAAATATATTAGAATTAAAATATGAATTAACCTCACTTTTTAAGTATTATATATTGAATACATAAGCTGTCTAGAGAAATTAAAGCCCAGCCACCCCTAGATTAAAATTGATTTTCCTTAACAACTCATAATATCAATATTGTCTGCGTTTATAAATTAAGTGGATTTCTTTGAAAGTTTATTATCATTGCTTGACATTGAAATGAGACAATGGATTTTAATTTTAATAATTAAATTTATAAATTTAGTTTCAGTTTTGAAACATGGGAATTTTTTATGTCGCAATCGAATCATATTTTTAAAAAGAAAATAATTATAATATTTTGCTCTACTCTTTTGTATCAAGCACTGTTATTTTTAAATAAAAATAACTGCTAAGAACACTGGATTATAAATCTTACTGTTCTTATTATTTTAATATATATATATATATAGAGAGCAATTATTAATTTAAATGGAAAACAGAAAATATATAGAGCAATAATTAATTAATTATATAGAGCAATTATTAATTTAAATTAATATATATAACTTAAATAGAAAACAGACAACCCTTAAGGTTGTCTGTTTTCCATTTAAATTAATAATTGTTCTGATTTGACATTGTGCTCTCTGAATTACATCCTCCTTGGGATTATCAATATGGATTACCAAACTTTTCATTACTTTTATATATATATATATATATATATATATGATGAGGCTATGTTGAATACCCTTGTTACTTGTATTAGTCTTTGTCATTGTTTCTAAAAATCTAACAGATCATGGGCTCAAGAGATGTAATAACTTGGTGGAGTTTTGGACTGATATTGTTAGTGTGAATGCTTTAGTACAAGGAGCTAATGTTGAAATGTCTTCTGATGAAATAACTGTTTTTGATTATCCCTGTATCATACCCAACTGCCAACACCCAAACTCTTGAGTGAACATGTCATTTATGTGAAAGGCTGTGATTATTATGAGTAAACATGTTTCAGAAATCCAATAAATAGTTTAATACTTTTAAACATTAAATATGTAGTTGCAAATGTTAATTTGATCTATAGAGTCATTCACTGTCAAAAAATGAGGGAATATTTTCAGTTCAATAAATAGAAAATATTGAGATCAGATTAAAAAACATTCTCCTCTGAAATTATTTTCACAAGATTTATGGATCTGGAGAAATGGAATATGGTAAATCACTGTTTATTAAATATACTATTCTCTAGAAATGTGTTATTTCTAACTAAACTCAGAAACCCCAAAAGCTGACTGGTGAGTTAATATGAGATACCAAGTGTTTATAGACTTTGCCACATTCCCATTTTGGTGAAAATAAGATGTGAGTAACTTTGATGGATTTCAATAATACATCAAAGTCAAACTAATAAGAATTAGTTATTTAAGTGAAGTGCCTTGAGAAAGAATTGTTTGGGGTTGCTGGGGTGAGCTATGAAGTGAATAAATTATTTCAATAAAATACAGAAAGATTTCATTCAGTTTTCAAACATTCATATTTAGGGTGATTGCTCACATACCTGTTGTGTAACATATGACTTTTTACCAAATGTCCCTCAGCCAAAGCTGCCATTAGAGACAATTCTCCAGCCAACACTGCAGCACATACAATTTGGGCCAAAGTTTTGGCATTATTTCCAGGATTTTCTGTGTTAGGACCTTGCACTCCTAACATCTGCAACAGACAAGAAAAAGCAGAGAATTAAATGTTCATGTCTAAAAATAAGCAATTTCAAAATAATATTTTTTGAAAGGTATAACTTATTTGAAAATGCATGAAAAGTTAAGGTCAATAAAAAAAACTGCCAATTCTTTTGTTCTTACTGTTTTATAAATACAACAGACATTAAAATGTTTAAGTCGAATTCAGTTGAAAAAAAAAAAAAAAAATCAAATTCCAGGCACAAAGAAAAACATTTTTCACAAAATAATGTCTAAATTGAAAATAAATAAATAATAAAAAATAAAACTTACTCGTAAACATGTGCTTTGTGCATGAAGATTTGTACCCCCACCAACAGTTCCTATCTCCAAGGAAGGCATAGAACAGCTGATATAAAGATCACAGTTGTTTGGCCCTGTAGTTTCCATCAAGGTGATACAATTCGAACTGGAAACATTCTGGGCAGGATCCTGTGAACAGTAAAAATAAAGAAGGGTTTACACACAATTTGGAAAGTGGCAGCAGAGTTCATGATTATTTGACTAGTAAAATTATTGGCTATAAAATCTGATAGTAATATTTAAGTTTTACTTATAAGGACAATGGCAAGATTTATACTCATTTATCTAAGAGCTAAGTAATTTATGGTGTTTTATTTATCAAATTCAAAATAACAAATTTCCACCACATAAAAATGGTCAATTCAACATTTCTATGTAGTGGACTCTTTTGATGATATAGAATAGTGTCACACATACATATATACTTGTATGCCAAAAGTAACTGGACAGCAGTATGTAAAGGTAATGGTAGTTGGTACTTTCATGCTTTGATATAATGGAAATGCTTAGTAAGTCTAGATAAGCTACTCATTGCAAGGTGACATGTTTCATTGGAATTTGAAGGAACCATGAGAGTGGGTGTCATAATGTGTTCTTGGCATTCTTGTTTTAATAAAAAGAACTTGTTTGTTCAGCAATGATCAACCTTTTCCTTGATTGAATATTCCTCAGAATAAGCTCTTTGATTTGATTAAATGTCAATCCTTCCATTTCTCTTGGATGAATCATCAACAAAATCTTCCTAACAGCTTCACAACTGGCTGTTGGCAGAAATAAATCTGTGACTTCATTTTCATCTCCTTTTATTTTTATTATCCCATAGTTTATTTTTTCTAGCAAGGGCTGCAAAGCACCTTACCCAAGATCCAACAAAGTCTGGATTTTCTACATTCAAGAAAATCCTATCAGTGATGCCATATTGTTATGATATTCCAAGTAGGGACTGCAGTTGTATGCAGTCAGTATTGGTTCTACAATCTAAGTACCATTGTTACTTACATAACGAGCCTATGCATAACACCTATTCATATATATATATATATATATATATATATATATATGCTAATTAGTGGTAGCACTAACCAACCACAACTACAGTTAAAACCATGACACTTAGGATTGTGACATTACTAATTGAACCCTAGAGGAGTGATATCAAGTATCATGATTCCAGTCACATAAATCATGAAGCCAGTTGGTTTAGGCGGATAGTAGGATGTGGCATATACCCAATTAAACCATGAACCCTAGCTGATAACAAGGCACCATGCAGGTTGTTGGTGGTTTCATAATGGTATGGGGTGTGTTCTACTGGTCTGCCTCAATATATCATTGAGTAGTGACCATTACATCACACTGCTTTGTATAAATTTACCCACATTCAAAGACTATGTATCCAAATAACAAAGTGTTATTCCAGGATAATGCACTGTGCATTAGGTCAAAGTTATTCAGAAATAATTTTAGGGGCATTCTGGAGACTTTTGACAAATTGTGTGGCCCATCAGATTCACTTGACATGAGTCCAAGTGAGAATTTATGTGATGTAGTGAAGAGGTCTATTTGCATCCAAGATCCCGCACCTACAAATATCATGGAGCTATGAACTGCTACTGAGAGAGAGTATATGTCAGAATCTCTCCCACTTGTGGAATTGATGTTACACAGAGTTGTCACACTTTGATGGGCTAAAAGTGTTCCTATATGTACCTATCCCATGTCTTATGGCATGATAGTGTATATAGCTACTCATTGTGTTTTATATATGTGATTATGTTAATCAAAGAAAGATGGATCAAGCAGGGAAAAAAATCTAAGAAATGCATTTATTATACCTGTCCTGTTGCAATGTAAACTGCAGTGACTATATTGGCTGAATGAGCATTAAAGCCTCCTTGAACACCTGCCATGGCAGAACCAATGAGATTCTTGGAAATATTTAAATCAACCAATGTAGCAGCAGATGTTTTCAGAACACCATTAATTACTTTCTCACATACAACTGCTTCACTGACCACATATTTCCCACGGCCCTGAACCCTGAAAGACAAGCACATTAAAATTTAAAAAAATAAAAACGAAGGATTAAGTTAGCTAATTTTTTCAATGTTCAATAAAGAGTTATTTTTTTCTAGTAAGACAATAAAACTCAAGATAAATAGCAAAATAACAACCATTTAAAATTAACATTTTAATAACAGAATTTTTAAAATGCTAAGTTTTTCAAATATAATTATTTTTTTCATAAATGGCTGATGATTTTTAATATATTATTAATTGCTTAATAGTTGCACATATTTATAACTCAATTTTCTTTTATAATGCTTACTTGAAACTTTTCACAATGGTTGTTAGAGCAACCACTTTAAGCTTTGGTTTTTGTGGGACAAAAATACATTCTCCTAATTGAAAAGTAATATGAAACCACAACAAAAGCTGAGACTATTGAAAGACATAGGATTCATGATTTTCACAAATTCAAAAATCTAGAAGTAAATGGCTTCTATTCTAAAATGTTAGTTTATTTCAAAAGTACATTTGTCAGTTTCTCTCATTTTATAAAAATTCAGATTGCCAAGTTTTACTTACTGCTAATCTATTTAATTTTATTCATACTTCTTCAAAGTTTATAACACCCTCTGTAATCAGAAATTATTTATTTTTTGTGTGTAGTGTGTACACTTTCATACAGTTTAAAACACAAAAATAAAATGGATTTTACCAGTTGACGGCAGCAGATTTTTTATCCGAGCAGTAATTACCACTGACACTTAAGATTTCCATTTCTGGGAATTTTTCTTTCAAAGCACTTATACAATTTTCTGCTCCCTATATTAAAAAAATATTCAAAGTAGGAAAAAGTTTAAAAAATAAATAAAATTGCAATCATAAAGCAAACGTTTTTCTTTTGTTGTTGACAAAACTAAGCAAATATTATATACAAGTGAATGAAACAATGACAGAAATTAAGCAACATGTTTAGCATAAAAACTTTTTCAAATATCTTTCCAATTACATCTTATAAAAAAAGAAAATACACAAAAATTTGAAGCTAGCAATATATCCTTGAATCTATACATTATTTTCATGCTAAAATTAAATTTTTGGATACTATTTTCTCATTCCTTTTTTATGAGTAAATGTTGCATTAACAATTTTTTGAGAATGATGATTTTTCTAGATAGAAGTCCTACTATTTTATTCATTATTGGGAAGAGGAGGAGTGAGGCACTCAATAATAAATTCATCACAAGAGTGATTACCTTATGTATCTCATTGACCCTAAATTTTCACCTCTCATGATGAATGGTTACACTCTCAATGAAGCTCCTTGCTTTTGAGCATCTTTTGGGATGCAAGACCAAAGTGTTTACATGGCCTTGTAGGTGATAAATTTCCCCCCCTACAACCTGTCTACCACAGATGCAACATTGCAAGCCTCATGCTACTCTATTGCTATTTCCATTTCTAACAAGCTACATTCCCATGTTTACCAGTTCAGACATTTGCAGGTAAGACCTGCCATGCCATGTACACAGTGACAAATCACCCTCATATCCTTCATATTCAAATACAAAAAAAAAATGTTCACTTAGTTTCTTCTCAAGAGTCACTACTTTATGAAACTGACTCTCGAGGATGCTTCCCAGAACATTATAATCATAACATTTCAAGTTTAGAGTCAACCATCAACTATTGTAATCATAATCTGCACTTATTTCCCTCCTCTTCTCCTACATCCATACAACAATGTCATTTAGTAACCATCTACCTTGAGTGTCTCATGATCCTTATATTGGGTGAACATTAGTTGATTTTGTATTTAGTCTATTTTTTTGCAAACAATGAGTGGCATTCAAAAATGAAATGATGCAAATTCTCTTTGGATCCATTTCTTCAGACTTCCCAAAGTGGGGGTAATGGCAACTTTCAAACACATTCCTTTTTGTACTTAAAATGTTTTTTTAAAAAGATTTTTTATTTATCAAAATATTTTATTAATTTGTTCAATTTCTCTTGTGGCTAATGAGCATTTGTACATCTTTGAAAAGGGATTTATCCCACCTAAAAGGTTTGGGAACTATTTGTACAGATAATGTAAGAAATCAACTCTCACCTTGGACAACATGTTCATTCCCATGGCATCACCTGTTTTGGCAATGAATCGAATATACAACAACCTTCCAGCCTGGCAAACTTGTAATTTATCTAAACGGGCAAACCTGAATGTGAACAATGCATAGAAATATTTTAATACATATCAACTTTATATTTGGAGAGATAAAATGGATTCAGCAGCAGGGAATGTCAAAACAAACAGTTATATCTTAATTGAAATGTTTACAATGCAATTTGATGCACTAATGGTATTTTCAGGTCATTCACCATAGCAGTCAAGTTTATCGACAGAAAATTAGAAGGCTATTCACAAATCTAATTGTTCCACTGGGAGCAAAAATTTTTTATTTTTGATTTGGTTTTTGTGGTAGTTCATTGCTGTAGTTTGCTTTAGAAATTCAAAGAAAGAAGTAGAGATTAAGAACATAATAAATTTGGCTTGAAAAGTTAATCCTGTTTATCATGGTATATTTTTTGTTTAAGGTCTTATAATTAATATAGAATTTGGTAAATCTTCAGATCCATCACTTCTGACCCTGTTAACAAGGGTGCACAAAAAGTTATATGCATTTTAATCTTGAATTCTGGAAGAAAAGTATAAAATGAAACAAAATAAACATGAAACTTATTTATTTTATTGTTTAGAAATAAAGTAATTATTGTTATGCTGACTTATAAATATACTTTTTTATGATTATAGAATAGGCACTTCCACTTTGTTGCTAAAAATAAAAAACAGCATAGCATGATGAAAAAAGCCCCAAACTTATTTTATTAAATTTTTTAATAATTTCTAGCAAATTCGAAATTTTGGTTAAAAATCTAGTTTTTTTTTTTTTTTTGCATCAGTGGTCAACTTAATATTTACGATTAGTGTTTTAGTGCCTTTCTTCCAGGTGAAAAATACATTCATTTAGAAATTCTTGCAGAAAATCAATTGTTGGATTTAATTAAAATTTCAGGACTTATTCAGAAATGAATGAAATTATTATTATTTTTTTTTTTTTTTTTTTACATATGTTACCCCTCACTTAATTTCATGAAATTTTAAGAAATTAAATTTCTGTCTGCCTGCAATTCTTTCATTATTCATTTGTTTCATCATGTTTACATTTCAACAAGCTTTGCAAATCATCCCTTCAAAATTTTAAACTTAAAATTTGAAGTAATTTTTACTTTTTTAATTCCTATTTCACTAAATATTTTTATTTTATATATTTATTTTAGTGAGTCATACTTCAATTAAGTAATTTTTTTTTTGTTAGTAGTTTTTTTTACTTTTTACAAGTTTATTCTTTTTTGTGTGAGTTATTTTTTATGAAAACATAAGGCTAAAAAGCTAAAGTAACTAAAATTCAATAAAATATCAGACAACTGCTGAAAATATTATGTTAATTTTTAAAAATTATTAGTTTGTTAAAAACCAAAAACAAAGCATTCACTTAGATTTCGTAAATTTATGTTAATTTCTGGTCAACCATACTTAGCTGTCAACACCTTAGGCTGCCAATACAATCAGTACATCACAAAAACAAGACTCTGTGATTAAGAAATGCTTGTATATTTTGTTTTATGCTATAAGTAAATAATATTTGTTTCAAATCAGATTAATTTAACTTTAAATTTGCTCATTTTCCTTAAATAACATGTTGCAAGTATATATTTTATCTTTGGAAGATTTTTAAAACCAAGAATTAACTTTTGTTTACAAATGTGCCAAAATGGCTGATATTTATCAATTTTTATCGATTTTCTGAAAGCTTACTGGAAATAGTAAATTTAATCATTTATCTTTCAATTAAAACCAAAAAGAAAGCTTCAAGAATGCTTTTTCATTTTTAAAAATTCATTTAAACCTTAGGTATCAAAAATTTAGTGGTGGTTCCTATTAGAGAAGTAGAAAAGCACAAGTAGAAAAAAGTAACTTTTAAAATTGCATAGTTTAACAACAGGGTTTAACATTTTGTCCACCTCATTTACAACATCTAAAAATATCAGATTAAATTTATTGAATTTAATTATGATATTAACTTTGCATAACAACATTCTTAATCAATGATTTTTCATTAATTTGGTGGCGTAAAATATATTTACTCCTATATTATGTTTTTTTTTTATTGACAAACTAAGATTCAACATACTCTTTTTTTTTAAATACCTTTTAGAAAGAAAAACACAAATTACTTAGACAAAAAATCAAATTATCAATATATTCATTGTTATGAATATAAAAATATTTAAAAATTTTGAAAAACTAAAAACATTTTTACATTTTAGTCTACAAAAAACTTGTTATAAAATCAAATCCTTGCATTTGCCTTGTATAAAGTCCCTCAGAGGACAAAAAGTGTTGGCTAAGATAAGTTTTCCTTTATATATAAGATGATAAAAATATAGTTTTATGGTATGCTACATTTATAGGTAAACATACTCAACATCAGAGAGAGCGTGTATAAATATAAAAGTGAATACTAAGTTCAACACCAAGCAGTGACAGTCTGTTTAATGCTTCAATGTAAATGTCTGTCAGACCATGTGTGTTGTGTTTTGGCTCGACTATTTGTATATGCTGGTAAGTGGTACATTATGGGTAGTAAGATCTATTATATTAACATGATAGTGGGTACATTGAACGTGTCATACAGAATTTCCATTGGTACCTCTTTTTGGGAACTTTTTAAATCAATGAATCTACATTTTAACTGATTAAGCTGTAACTTATGTTCCCACCTTTGTCCCTGTACCATGTATGTCATTTTGCCATCTTCCCAGAATTCCTTTCTGTGCTGATACATCTTAAAAAAATACCTTATCTCCAGGTTTGAAGTATGTACTTGTATTGTTATTTCTTGATGTTCTTGCCTTGTGTTTTGGTAATAACTTATTAAAAATGGACTTAATCTTCCTGGCATGGCAAACATCAACTCTGCAGGTGACATTCTTTTTCCATCTTAATTATTATTTCCTTTAATGTTATGGGCAGATCTCTTACGGCATTGTATAATACATTATTAATTTCATTTTCAGCCCTTATCACTGTAATCACAGTGTCTTCCAGTAGTTCACAGAATCTTGGTATTAGTCTAGACAATCTGTCTGCATGACTTATTTTTTTGGATGATAGAAATTCCATTTTATAATTATAATTCAATAGGATAGTTCCCCAGTGCTGCAGTCTATTCACTATATGTGTGGGAACACCCTTTTTTGATTCATATATAGACAATAATGGATGATGGTCTGTCTGTAGTATGAATTCTCTATCATGTATGAATTTATGAAACTTTTTCATGGCAAATATGATGGCCAATGCTTCCTTTTCTATCTGGTGGTAGCTTCTTTCAGCTGCAATTAATGATCTTAAAGCATGAGCTATTGGTTTAGTTGTTCCATCCTCATATTTGTGTACTATCACTGTTCTAATATCTGAATCACTTGCATCTGATGCAACCACAAGGTTTAATTTAGGATCAAAATGAGCTAATGACAAATCTGATGACTTTCTTGATCTCTTCTAAAGCGCTTTAACACTTATTACTTTATTGAATATTACTGTATATTATATTATATTATTTTATCATGGCATATTTTGTTACTGATATCATTTAGTCTAGTTAGGTTAGTATTACAATTAACGGTAACTCTCTTAATTTTTGAAAAAAATATAGAGTTGGTCCCCTTTGATTTCCTAACGTTCCTTATTTGTTTAGTTTACATTTTCAAAACAGCGTCTCTCTAATTTAGAATTTGTATTCATTTCCAACATCATTTTCAATCTTAAAAGTTAAAATAAACTTAAATTCAAATTCAAAGTTTAACTATAATTCTTTTAAATTTTTTTAACTCTAATAATATTCCACCCCAACAATTATATATCTCGTGCGATCCAGAAATTAAAAAAAAAAACAAAAGAAAAAAAAAACGATGTCGACCCAACATGTAAATGAAATAGAAATAAAAAACAAATATAACTACAGCACTTAAAAATTGCTTTGACATGGAAATCAGAATTGTGCAATTTATGTAAGATATTATGTATTTTGCTTAATTTAAATAGCTCAGTTACTTTTACATTGAGCACTGATTTTTCTTATGTACCTTTACCTTTATCCATTCGATTATACAAGGTCAAGGGAGGGGGAAAACAAATATACATAAAAATTTTTAATTTCTTGTATTTCCAACTAATGAATAAACATTAGTTTCATAAATTCACTGTACAGATGCATAGAAACAGAAAAATTTGATTTAATAGAAATAAATCCCATTTACCCATTTTAATGGGTGAAAAAAGTATTTGTACACTACAAATTTCAGATTTTAAAACTTTTTAATTGCTTTAATACTCTAGAGATTATTATTCATGTGGAATCTAGAATATCCAAATAATGTTATCAGTAGTTATTTTTAGCCTAAAAAATACAAACAGAACATTTTGTAATTGATATTTGTGTAAGAAGGTTATCATCATGGCAAGAGGTAAAGAACTGACAAATTTGCAAAAAGAACTAAGCTCTGGAAAGAAGGTAAAAGTTACAGGAAAATCTCAGACAACCTGAATATTCCATATACTACCATTAGTTCATTCAATGCAACATAAAAAAACTCTAAACTGTTGAAAACCAAAGACGAGCAGGTGCTCCATGGAGAATTTCTTCAAGATCATTGAGAAAATTATTGCATCAATTATAGAAAATCCAATGGTTACTTATCAGGAATTGCAGGATGATTTGCTTTCATCAGGAATCTGTGTCAATAAATGGACAGTAAGCAATGAAATTCATAGGAACAATCTAAAGTCATGCACTCCTTGGAAAACTCCACTGCTATTGAAAAGACACAAAGATGCCAGGTTGAAATTCGTTCGTGAACATAAGGATAAGAAAAGATTGTACTGGGAAAGAGTATTATGGACTGACGAAACCAAAATTGAGTTGTCTGGACGTAATTCTAGAAATTATGTATGGAGGAAAGAAGGTGATGCCTTCAAACAAAAGAACACAGTTCCAACAGTGAAATTTGGTGGTGACAGCATCATGGTTTGGGGATGTTTTTCTGCAAAAGGTATTGGCAACATATCAGTAATAGATGGTAGAATGAATGCCACAGCATATCAACATATTTTGGTTGAAAATCTTGAACTTCCTCCTGGTTGGATCTTTCAACAAGATAATAATCTTAAGCACACTCTACAAAGAAATGGCTTGCTGAAAATAATGTAAATATCCTGAAATGGCCAAGTCAGCACCCAGATTTAAACACAATCTAGAATTTTTGGTGTTATTTGAAAATTCAAATCCAATCAAGAGCTCCAATAAGCATCCAGAATCTGAAGTCCATATGCAAAGTAGAATGGAACATAATACAAACTAAAATTTGCAAATCATTGAGAACTACAAGAGGCTAATTGCTGTAGAAGTGAATAATGGCTATTCTACAAAGTATTAAATGAAGATTATGTATTATTTGTTGTATGAATACTTTTTCACCCATTAAGATGAATAAATGGAATTTATTTCTATTAAATCAATTCTTTTTCTATTTTTTATGCATATTTAGTTATTATGCATCTGTGTACAGTTAATTATATGAAAAGTATTTTTATTCATTAGTTGGAAATACAATAAATTAAAAATTTCTATGTGTACAAATATTTGTTTCCCCCACTATATATATATATATATATATATATATATATATATATATACAGAGAGAGAGAGAGAGAGAGAGAGAGAGAGAGAGAGAGAGATATTCAGTTAATGTAAATATTTTGGACTTACCTACTCGTTTCATCAAATTTTTCTTTCACGAATTGGAATGATGAGGATTTCTCAAGCCAAAATTTCATTTGCCTAAAACATTAAACACAATAAGTTTTAAATAACTTTGAATAAATATCATTTTCTGGCCAAAATGGAAAATGCTGTTTGGATTTGCTAAGCTAAAACAATGTGATGCTATCACATCTATAGAGCACTCATTTGGCTCTGACTGATGAGCAATATTTTTCAAGACCATTATGTTTCCCATATAAAAGCTTAAAATGGAGTTAGTTAAAGAGACTGACTTGATATTTCAAAAAGCACTGTGACATGATCCACCACAAAAATAACATTTAGATCTTATTAAGGCACACACATCGCCAACAAATGAATCTTTGTTTTCTGATGCTATGGCTCCCACAGTTGGTGAGAGTGGATGTGAATATGGTTCAGAGTTTTTCGTTATAGGTATAGAGATCTGGCTTTATTAACCAAGGTGCAAGTGTTTTGTTTTCTAAAAAAACGCTGTTGAATAGAATTAAAACACAAACTGGTAATGAATGCATCTCTAACACAGTTGTCTCAGTTTTGAGCAATGTTAATTGGTTTGAAACTGCATTTTTAACTAGTAGTTGTAACCCCATAACATACTCATCAATATCTTCTTCATCTCGTTGCCCATGTGTTGCTAGAACATGTCTGGTGAAGATTTTATTTGTGGCTTTCATGTATAATTCTTTGAGGTGACTTACTAGCAGATTCAAAAGTAGCATACTCATCAATATGGTCATAGACATCTGAGGAAAAGCTATTAATTAACATATCCAATTTGTCTTGTTCATCATATACAGTATCATTTGTAGTTTTTCGTAGGAATGAAGTGAATGTCCGATACCAATGGCTGAAGATTTTAGTTGTAGAGTTGTGAGTTAGGAGGTACGGCTAATTTCTTGGGTTTCAAAAGTTTGTCTATCCTTCAACCTACTCTGCTTCTTAAATTCAAGAAGGAACAGAACTAACAAAGTACCTTGATGAAGACTTTATTAACAGAGTAGTCTATGCTGGGGCTAAGAGCAAATAAGAATACCAGATTACAAGTATATATATATATATATATATATATATATAATATTAGTGGTCAATATATATATATATATATATATATATATATATATTGATAATATTAGTGGTCTAGATATATATATATGTTGATAATATTAGTAGTCTCTCTCTCTTTCTCTCTCTATATATATATATATATATATATTTCAAGAGGATAAAATCCAGGTAGAGTTCAATCTAAAAGACAGAGCAAGAATATAATATAAAAGGCTCAAACACTATATTCCATGGTTATGTTTGAGCCTTATATATATATATATATATTGCACTATTCTTGACCCTGATATAAAATGGGATTGCAGGGTGAAGAATAGTACAATACTGAAGAAATGTAACATCACAGGCACTGAAACCATTGTAGCAAAGATACAGCTTCAGTGGGCTGGTCATGTTGTGATAATGGATAAGCATAGGCTTCCAAAGAAGGTGCTCTATGGAAACTACCAAAGTCCAAGTGTTCAGTTGGATGTCCACTCTTATGCTACAAAGACAAATTGAAAGACAACTTGAAACATCTCATCTTTTATCTGAAAATCTGGGAAGCCCAAGCATCAAACTGAAAGGAGGGGCATAAGACAGGTTTCATTAAGTTAAAGGGTTTTGAAGACAGTAGACTGAAGCACCGTGATCAGCTTCATCAAGCTCTGAAGCAGAGACACCATTAAAATTCTGCTTTAACAAATTTCATTTGTCAGTGTGGCTTTGTCACCTGCAGCAAGGCTGGGCTAGTATCATACTTAAGAAAGCACAAATGAAATATGTCTTTCCCTTATCTGATTTTCTCCACAATACCCCCTGCTACCATACTTAGTGTAAAACAAAAGGAACCATCCAATGCCAAACCTCATTTCTCGGTCATGATAGGAGAGTCCACCATATATATATATATATATATATATATATATATATATATATATATTTTTCTTCTCATTTCATTGTTGGAAGTGTTTACCTGATGATCCAAATCCTTTAAAAAGGGATTTTGGTGAAATAAATTATTGTAATGGTACCTTAAAGTGGTCTGTTTTTCATTAAATATTAGCTCTGTTCTTCACATTGAGCTCTCAGGATTTCATCCTCCTTGGATTTACCAATTCGGTTTACCAAGTTATTTATAACTTAATTATATAAATATATATATATATATTACAGCAAAAGGTAGATAATTCCAGAAAAGTCCAAATTGAGGGAAGTTAATGCATATGGCACATATGCTATAAAAACCCTCCATAAATGCTTTTTTAACATTTACTCTGTTATAATCACATCTAATTAATACTTGTCACGCATTTCAAGGTAGAGTGCCAAAGCATCAGGCTCCAGAAACAAATATTTAACTCACAACGTCAGGAATATTCTGCACCATTGTGAATCAATTTCACTTTCATAAGCCACACAACTACATCTCCTTCCCCACTAAATAATTTCATCATGTCACCAGTATTATCCCCTCTATTTTGTGTTAATACTGAAATAGGTTGTGTTTTGATATGCTCTGTTCTATTTTCTTCAGCTACCTTCAAACTTCATCTCAATCATTCTCTGGCTCAGAAAAAATAATGAATCCTATCACTCATGCTTTATTTGTGAAAAGTCTCATAAAATCTTTTAAAAACCCCAAAGAGTACACACTGTTTCTTTAAAGAGGCTTAGCAATATTATTACCATGACATCAATTCAAAGATAGATTACACCAAGTGATATTTCATGAATATTCTATTACTATTCATTTTTATTGTTTTTCTCCTATAAGTAACTGAGCTCAGTTAATCCTTCCTCCATCAACTTCCATACTAAACATAACAAAAGTTATCTGCAACTGAGAAGCACTAAAATTGAGCTTACAATCTGAAGTTGAGCCAACAAGGATGGTGCAGTGACAAGGCAAAAAACAAGTCAAGCATATGTCCTTCAAATATATTGATATACAGGAACGTTAACTGCTAAAATGTTAGCCTAATATGACTTTTTTCTTTTTTTTTTACAGCAAGGTTCACTGTTTACAAGGCCCAGGGGTCACTTGAGGTAGAGGGTTATGTTTGGAGGCCATTTGTGTGTATATGAGTGGAAGATAACAGTTAACTCTAGCAGTTCAGGGTCAAATCAGCAATGATGGAATGTAACTAGGTTCGTTTTCGAGGCAGAGATTATAACCAGTCAGTTTTTACCTAATTGGGTAGTTTGTGAAAGATTGGAAGAAAGATCAGTCACCAATCTCTGACCATCAAGAGTTTTAAATGCGCCTGTATACTGTTATATCTTCAAGGCAGATCAACTTATTCTCAGGCAGATCATTTATGTAGATCAAAAAAAGGGTTAGTCAGAGGAGTGATTCCTGGGGAACACTTACACCAGCTCTAGGGCTCTGGAGGACTAGCCACTGATAACTACCTTCAAGGATCTACCTGTTAGGAAGGATTTTACGATTGAGAAGACCCTTCCAGTGATTCTATAACTGGAGAGCTTGTGTAGTAAACCTTTGTGCCACACCTTGTCAAAGGCCTTTGAGATATTTAGTGCTATGGTCCTTGAGGTATGTTTGTTGTCAAGAGTCTCACTGATTCTGTGAGTTATGGTAGTTAGGACGTTGACAGTTGATCAGGTTGACCAAAACTAATTCTGCTTGTTGCTAAAGAGTCTGTTCTTTTGTAGGTGCTTGATGACTTATTGATTATGGAATCAAAAAGCTTGTTGATGATACTGAGGAGACTGATGGGTCTGTACTGAGAGGGGGAAGATCACATACCTGTGTTCTTGAAAACCAGGCACATGCCTGACACTTTCCACAGGCTTGGGAAGGATTTCTCCTTCAAGCAGCGGTTGACTAATTTAGCTAGGATTGGTGATAATTCCAGGTTGATGTTCTTAAGAACAACCACTGGAATTTTGTCTGGACCAGTGGCATTTTTAGAGTCAAGACCTTTGATAAGTCTAAAGACTTCTTGTGCTGTGATGGTAATATTACTGAGATTATGCTCAGTGGGAACTTGGGGAGGGGATGGTCTTTGTCATCTAATGTTGAGTTAGAGGCAAAGATGAAAGTGAAGAGGTTTGCCTTTTCTGAGGTTCATCTTATAATGATATTGAAACACTCAAAATTATGCATCACCTTTGGGAAATTTTTCTAAACCATTCCACAGATTTTTTATTTATTTTATGGTATAGTTGGATTTAAATTCAATTTTTAATTCAAGTGGTGAGCTGAAGCAATCAATGTTTACAAGAAAGGAATTTACTTACATAGCCTTTTCTGCACATGCAAATCTTACTACTGGTGAACGTGTCATGCCATCTTGTAATAAATAACTTTGAACTCCTCCACTGTCCTAGAAAGAGGTAGAAAAATAATTATAATTTTATAGGATTTTTGACATACAATAAAAGACATCATTTACTAAATTCTACATGAAAATAATTAATAGTTAAAATCATTAATGAATTAACATTATTAATTTAATCAAGTTTAAAACTGTCATTCATTCTTGTTAATCATTCTAGTTTTAATGTAGATGTAAAATAAAGCAAGTGTGTTATTAGAGTGTATGACAAGTACAAATCAGAATGAATATCACATATGCTGTTAACAAGCTTGTAAAGAAAATGGATTTAAAATAAGTAGAAAATAAAGTAATGAGTTGCATATAAACTACATTATAACTGATTCTATTAACAAATAAAAATTCAAAAGTTAATTTTAGATTTCAATATGAATCTTACAGCTATAGATTTTATCAAGCCAAGACATAAAAAAAGACAAAAATTAAATAAATAATTACACACAAACAAAGAGACAAAATTTACAAATTATAAGGCAATGTGAACTCACTGACAAAGCACGACACCCTCGGTGGGTACTGGCAACCAAACATCCTTCTGTAGTCGCCATGGGAACATAGTAATTTTTACCATTTAGCAGTAAGGGTCCTGCCACTCCAAGGGGAATAGGAACATAACCAAGGACATTTTCACAACAAACTCTATGTGTCTAAATAAACAGCAAATAATTATAACAATAATAAAATAATGTAAATGTATTAAAGCAATAATCCTTTTAAAAAAATTAAAGAATGACTTCATTTTACTTTTGTTTATAAATGTAAAGAGTGTTAAGGAAACCCTAGCCACGTCACAGATTAAAATTAGCAGCTATAAAATTTCAATATTTTAAGGATCTTCATAGCTTATAAAATAACATTTGCAAACATTTTAATTAACATTTTTTTTTCACTTCTGTTTTAGTATTTTGGTTTTTGTGGGTATTAGTTGTCCTTTTGAAATTATCATCATTTACCAAAAGAAAGAATTGCAGCATGAACAAATATAAAGATCATTTCATCTTGATTTTCATTATACAATGATAGACTGAGATGAAAAAGAAAGAAACAATACAATGAAAATAATATCAAAAAAAGATAAAAAAAAAATAAGCTGCCTCGAAAGGAGCAAATCAAATTTTAGAGTGCCGTTTTCAGTCTGAAAAACTAACTTACAGTAGAATAATCAAAACTGGTATAGGGAAGCTGTTCCATCACATCTATGTTATCCAATTTTTGACTTATCATCTTACGTCTGTGAAAATAAAAGGTTATCAGCTTCATTTGTGACTATTTTCAATGAACATTATATATTTTTAAACATGAAAAATAATAAAGTATCTGATAAATAACAATAATCTAAAATTTCAAATCAAAAAGAATATATTGAAAGAATTTTGACATTTTAGTTTAATTTAATTAAAGACTATTAATTTAAAACAATATTTCTGAGTACTCAGAGTTGTTTTCCTATCAGAAACACAACAAAGAGAAAATATTCAAGTCTTTCAATTTATCAACTAAAGTTAAAAATCTTAACTGGTAAAATTTTAATTGAATGGATGTTTTGATATTTTAAAAATGAAAACTAAAATTAAATCCAAATTCACTTTATAAACTGCAATTCATTTGTTTTTCAAAATTCTGCAAAGATCAAAAAAATTGAATCTTACTTAATTTCATCAAAAGTTTTTGACTTTATGCCATGTTCCATATCAGGTATAAAAGCAATTTATGCTTTATGTTGACATTTTAAAAGAATTATTGATATAAAATGCTGAGAAAATAAAAAGAATAACCAATTTTACCTAATATAAACTGCTCTTTCATAGTCTTGCAAGATATTCTCCAATTTGTAACTAGGAATAAGTTTCTGATCCAAGAGAGCAAGTATTTCTTCATCAGTCAACATTTTTGCTCCATCCTAAAAGAAAAGCAATTTCTATTTCATTTAAACAAGCAGGCATATACACATAGCACCATTATGTGCCTCTTTGTCACTCCATAATAGTTTAGATTTCTGAAACTAAAAATATATTAAAACGGATAAAATTTTTGAAAAATTGCATGGAAAAAAAATGTCGACCATCTTTAGCCTTTTCAACAAATTAACAATCACAATTCTTTAATGGTATAAAATATATTAAAGTGTTAAATTCCATATATAACTAAACCAATCATAAACTGGCATTAAACTTATTCATCTGAAATCCTTACATTTAATTTAAGCTCAATATTTTGCAAATGATTCTCAATAAAAGCCAACAAAAAATGTACACATTCAGAAAATTAAAGGAAAACATTATAACATTTTTCCCTTTTAAATATACTGTATTGCTTTAGAAAATAATAAAATAATTTGGTAAGGTAATTAAATTATTATGAAATATAAAATCTTGTAAAGTCTCAATGTCATCTAGACTTCAGCCACTTTCCCATCACCATAATGTAATTTACCTGTGCCTTTTCTATAAATACTTTCATGGTAATTATTCTGACAAACTTTCCTCTATGGTACCTAGATGTATTTAAGTGCAGTACTAGCACAGATATTTTTATTTATATCTCAATGTTTGCAGATATATATATGTTCACACGCAAAAGTTAAAGGTTTTGATAAAGAAAAATAACGTGGTTATCCGCTTAAAAATCTTGTTGAACATAGTAAATAGTTGGGATATACTATGTCTAAGTAGACATAAGTTGTTCTTTTTAGTCTCAGTGTATAGGTTAAAGAAATCAAGGTCTCATCATTTTACAATTAAAACTAAGTTCTATGCTAACAGTTTCTTCTTGTGTTCATCTTGTGTGGTTGCCTGCACATTGAGAGTGCCCTTTCTGACTGAGAAAAAAACTGGTGTTATATAGCTCTCCCAGTCCCAAATCCATGCTGACTATTGGCTAATACCTGTCTAGTATTGTTCAAATGCAAATTGTCAACACCACTGTCATAAAATAAAATAAGACATATCTCGGCTGATTTACAGGCAAATACTCAAGAGCGAGAACCGGATGTGAACGGGGCAAAGCCCCGTCACAAAATGACCATTAACTTTCTTTACAAATGTTTCCGACACACGTGTTCCGGTCGAAAAATAAAATAATATTTAAAGTGCTCTATTTTTCGTCCAATAAAAATGCTTCCCTCCTAATTATACTCACTTCGTTTCTCGAGCCTGTTAAGCCATAAAAAAAAACTTATAAAAGGGGTCACACGGAAGTTCAACAGTCAGTCAACAGGTGGCCAGCGAACAGACCTGACGGTCAGGCAGCGATCAGCAGCAGGGGAGCGTCAACCACCGTCAACATGTGTGAACTACTATGAGATCGACCAGATCCGAAAGCCGGCTTATGAGCTTTACCACACCAAGGTAGCTGTCCCAAACCCTCACGTTCCTGTTGAAATAAACCATGTAAATCTATTTCTACTGTTGTCGTATTTCTTTCTTGCAACCAAACGCTTGTCTATAACACTGGTGTCAGAAGCGTACAGCAAGAGAAATATGGCCGACTACACAAAAAAAAACCCGAGCGAACTATTTACTCTCATCAAGGAACAGAAAACACTACTATTCAACTTGAAAAAATGGGACCAACACAGCCTTCGAAGCCCCACGATACAGGAAATTCAAGCCGACATAAACAACATGCTGACTGCCCTAAAAACTATTTCAACACCTCCCACCGCTCAAACAAGCGGCGATTACAGCTTAATGATGCGCCAACAAACTATCGCGACACATTGAAGCTAGAGAAAACTTTTCACCCTGGACACGACGTGAACCAATTCATCACGGCCCTAAACAAAGCATACACAATCCACGTCACGCCAGAACTCAGCACCTATCCCAGCCTGGAATGCGAATTTTCAAGTCTGCTAAAGATTTACTGGACCAAAGTATCTTTCAGCAGATGGTTGGCTCAAAAAGGACATATCCACCTTTGAACAACTGAAGGAATACTTATTAGGAGCCCACGGAAGCCAGATGACTAACTTCAACACCTCAGTCAAGCCTGGGACCTGGAACGGCGAGATGGCGAAAAATTAACAGACTTGGGGGTTGACTTGAAAACACCCTTAGAGAGGCAGTCATCAACATAAAAAACAAATACAAAAAGACAAAAATACAGACTTAACAGTCGATGGACTTATTTCCATCATCGGTAGCTATGCTAATGAGCGAAAAAGGTGAAAATTTGGAACTCAAATCTCTACCCACATCTCGTCAAGACAATGGACAGCCACTATTCAGCCATTGGCATAGCCTCCGAAGCTCAAATATACCTCGCACGACACTGTGTATTTCACACAGAAACCACAGCGGTCAAACCAAAGAAATGCACCACTCCGACCCAGCAGGCGACCAAACCCACATCAGACGGGCTTCACCAACCCTCCCGAACATGGCCACCATCCGACACGCAGAAACCATCAGCACACACCACGAATCAGCATGTGCAAGAACTACCTCAGAGGTCGCCCCTGCCACCATGGATGCAACTATGTATATTGCCACCCACCTACTTTTCGGGCACAGGCCCATATCGCCCAACGAATGACAATATACAAGCCATAAATGATGTGGAACAGGATTTTCGCCGGGCAGGACGAGATGTGATGCCTTGTTCACATGCCCCTCGTCCAGCCATCACACCTTCAACTTTCAAGGACTTGCTCACCATTCACCGCTCGTCCAGTCCACCTTCAACTTCAGGGACATCACCTTCTATGGCATAGCAATGCTAGACTCTGGATGCTCCGCCTGCATCGTACCAATATCTCGGTTACCCAGAGAAGCCAAGAAACTCATGACCCGCTCCGACGTCATAGTAAAAGGAATCAACGGCAGCACCACCGCCCTCGGCAAACTGACTTGCGACATCAGCATCGGCAGTCAAGATTCACCCACATTCAAAAAGGTTAACGTGCTGGTAACTACCCAAACCACACCAATCCTGATCGGCCAAAATATCCTACGTCACAACACGCTTGATTCCTATCTAATCGACAACCAAAATGCGACTATAGAATTCAGACGCACACTTTCCTCAGGATATACAACGCACACAGCCGCAATCATATCACCGTCATCGTCAACCAATGATCCAGCATATGGTGCCCAAGCTGACATCATCCAGAACCAGCCTACTATGGAACTACAGCCCAACATCCAGACACTGGATCAAAAGCTAACCTGGCTAAAACATAACACGGGACTATTGCTATCAAACCACCCGAACCGAGACGAACTAGAGGCCACTGCAAACCTACTCATTCGCTATGCTGACATTATTGGCACCGAAAGCAGCAGCAAAGGCACATTCATCCGACCCATCCGCATACCAACTAACGGCCAGTCTCGCAGCCAGAAACAACACCCGATAGCCCAGGCTTTGGAAGCAGACGTAGATACCGAAATTAAGCGTATGGCTGATGAAGGTATCATTGAAAACTGCAGCGACCCCAAAGGCTTCAATAGCCCTGTATTTCCCATACGCAAGAAAAATGGATCGATTTGTGCCGTTGCTAACTTTAAAAGAACTTTCAACAAGGTCTTAGTCTATCTTGAACCTTACCCAATGCCAAGGATCGACCACTTGTTCAACAAAATCGGCAAAGGCAATAGATATTTTACTACCCTCGATCTACGCAGCGGCTACTGGCAAATTGAGATCGACAAGCGAGACCGATACAAAACAGCATTTACATGGAAGGACCAATGCTATCAATACACGCGCATGGCCTTGACCCCCATCTGCCAGACAAATCTTCTCCCATTGCATAGCAGAAGCCCTAGCCACGGTCACACCCTGTGACAACATTTCTTCCTATATCGACGACAACCTGGTCTACGCTAGGACATTTAGTTAGTACATACTCTCCCTCGAACAATTTTTTACTGCCCTCCGAAAATTCGGACTCAAGCTGAATCCTGATAAATGTTCCTTCCTCGCATCAGAGGCAAAATTCCTCGGACGCATAGTAAACAGCGAAGGATTCAAGGCTGATCCAGAATACGTTTGTGCCATCAGGGAAATGAAACCTCCAACATCAAAAAAGGAATTACAAAGCCTTATCGGCTGTTTAGTGTGGATCAGACAATTCCTAGAGACACGTCTTCATGAACAAATCAGGTCAGATATGTTTTCAAAAATTATGGGTCCCATACACGAACTCAACAAGGTTAATAAACCGTTTGTCTGGACGCAAAATGCCGACAGAGCCTTTAAAAATATCAAGGACCATCTCTCTTCACCACCTGTCATCTCGTTTCCAGATTTCTCCAAACTTTTCACACTCACCACCGACGCCAGCGATGTCGCATGTGGAGCAATCTTAATGCAAGAAGCCGACAACGGGAAGAAAGATATCATAGCGGTCGCTTCCCATACATTCAACTCCATGGAACAGAAATGGTCCACGACGGAAATAGAGGCATATGCAATAAAGTGGGCAATATTGAAATTTGATTATTTCCTTCATAACCGCCCTTCGTCATCTTCACCGACCACAGATCGCTGACATATCTGGACCAACGAGTTCAATAATGCCAAAATATGACGATGGCAAGAAGAAATTTCATGTTATAAATTTGTCTTGGAATATGTTGAAGGCGAATCAAATGTATGGGCTGACATGCTCAGCAGAGGTTGCGGACATAAAGAAAACGAAAGCCCTGAACGACCCTACACCGGCAGGCAGGACATTCGAGGTAAGCGGTTCAGACCTCTGCGTATACATCCCATCTTGGTGCCTCGGCGAAGTTTAACGGTTTACAGCTCATTCCCAAAACTCACACACCACAAAACGCCCGCACCCACAAGCGCGCCACCAACGCATTCTTCGCCTATCACTCCACCACCACCATCCCCACTGAGAGAATCTGCAACCACCTCGGCATCGCAGATGAACAACTGAAGGATGACGCCCTGGCAAAGATCATCAGCACCCTCCAGTCACCCACTCCAAGCCCGACCTCATATCGATCCTGACGACCACCGAAAGCTACGCTTTTCAAAAAACATTTCCACCAATTTTTTTAGAACCAGGCACCTCCGTTTTGATGATAAGAGACAGTAAACACTCTCCGAGATTGGTTGTACCATACAAATTCTGACCCAGATACCTCTACCAGGCACACGAGGGCAACAACCACTCAGGTGTCACCCGTGTCAAGAGAACTCCTTTCCAGCTACTGGTGGGAATTCAAAAACCACGACATCAAGGCCTATAATCGATTCTTGCGACACTTGTGCTAAGTGCAAGGGCAACTACGGTAGGCGTACCCACTGGCCCATTGGCCACTGCAAACAAGGAAAGAGACCATTCGATCTCGTCTTTATAGACTTTGTCACAATGCAAAGGGAAAACGCTATATCCTAACCATCTTGGATAGCTTCAGCCGACATTTTACAGCCATACCATGCACGAGGGGAGACCGCTATCGACGCCGCCAGGATTGTACCATCTCTTCCTTCGACACAGAGAGATTCCACGCATAGTATCCTTTGATCGAGGCACACACTTCACTGGAGAAGTCTATTGACAATTCTGTAACCAGATGTCAATCACGCAAGAACTTCACTGTCCTTGGCGCCCGCAAAGCTCAGGAAATATCGAGAGACAACATCGCATTTGATGAAGAAACGCACTTTATATGTTATCTGCGAAGACAGGAAACGTGAATGGACAGACGTTCTAGAATCTGTCGTTTCGTCCATGAATGCCACGACCAACAGCGCCACCAGTGTCTCCCCAAACTATGCCATTACCGGCTGTCACCCCAACATCGGCCTACCTACACTACACAGAAAAGAAATCACAAGCGACGATCCTGGAGCATATAGAATGCAAATTAATGCCCTGCTAAAGCAGGTTCACCACCACGTCAGCCTGGCCAACGATGAAGCCGACCACAAACTTGAGACTAACTTAAATCGCCTCACATACAAGGACCCAATACAAGTAGGCGACAAGGTTTTACTTCATCGGCCACACTCAACTGTAGCCCAATCCTCTCATCTGCCCTGGATAGGAAATTACACCATTATAAAAACAAACAATATGATGTGTCAGGTGCAAAACGATGATGGTGATACAATCTGGATTCACTGTGCACATATCCGACGCCCAACACATCTTTCTAATACAATCCCTCTGCCTCCACCATGTAACAGTCACCAGGATCATTCTCCTCTTCATACCTCGGGGACACATAACTCAGCAAATAACCCCATACCAAAACAGATGCCAATAAGAAGAACACGAGGACAACTTCCCACACGCTTCAGAGACTTTATCATGAATTAATCACCCAAATATACACGAATAACGCTCACTGTAAATGAGACCGAGATCTGGGGGAGCCTTGTTATAAAATAAAATAAGACATATCTCGGCTGATTTACAGGCAAATACTCAAGAGCGAGAACCGGATGCAAACGGGACAAAGCCTCGTCACAAAATGACCATTAACTTTCTTTACAAATGTTTCTGACATACGTGTTCCGGTCGAAAAATAAAATAATATTTAAAGTGCTCTATTTTTCGTCCAATAAAAATGCTTCCCTCCTAATTATACTCGCTTCGTTTCTCGAGCCTGTTATGCCATAAAAAAAACACTATAAAAGGGGTCACACAGAAGTTCAACAGTCAGTCAACAGGTGGCCAGCGAACAGACCTGACGGTCAGGCCGAGCGATCAGCAGCAGGGGAGCGTTAACCACATTCAACATATGTGAACTACTACGAGAGATCGACCAGATCCGAAAGCCGGCTTATGAGCTTTACCACGCCAAGGTAGCTGTCCCAAACCCTCACGTTCCTGTTGAAATAAACCACGTAAATCTATTTCTACTGTTGTCATATTTCTTTCTTGCAACCATACGCTTGTCTATAACACCACTGACTGCAAGTATGTAGTGAAAGAGATAATCAGCTACCTCAAAAAAGAGTTTGTGTTTTGTGTGCGATCTGCCAAACAAAAATTACCAAAAAGTAGTTAGCAAAAAAAAAAAATCTACTTTAAGGACTAGAATCTATGCTAATGTTCTTCCCTCCCCTGAATGGCATGACCAATCAGAAAGATCTCTCAGTGAACAAAAGCCATTGTTCTTCGCTTATAAAAGCAGGAGTTTTTCTGAGCTTAGGAGACGAACACACGTTTTTGCTGGTGAGAAGTGAAGGTTGGACTTGTGTCCCCATTTTGTCGTTTCTATGCTGCTTACGATGGGCTATCGTTTGAACTGTGATTTGGCAAAAAGTGTTGCAGTCAAGGGACTGAAGAAATCTATTGCAGATGTTTGTTGCTACTATAAGTTGACAGTCTTTTCTTTTCTTTACAACCACAAGCTATTTCAGCATTTACTTTATCTCTAGCAAGATGGCGGAAAGACCATTCAACATAAAATTGATCCCCGAATTCAGTGGTGATACAAGGGGACAGTCTGTGGTTGAATGGATCGAAAATGTGGAATTGGTCTGCAAATTATGCGTGAAGATTACGAAGATTGAACCGATTCTTCTATTGTGCTTGAAAGGCGGTGCCCTTGCTTTGTATAGGCAGCTGAGCAAAGAACAGAAAAGTGACATTGAACAAATAAAGTGTGCTCTACTAACCACGTTTGGAACTGACCGGTTTGTGGCCTATGACCAATTCCAGGCGCAGCGTCTGCAGCCTGGTGAGATAGTAGACATATAATTCGCGGAATTAAAGAAGCTCTTCGTACCGATTGCATCGCTTCCTGAAGAATGGATGACCTGTGCCTTTGTGTCTGGATTGACTAGTCATGTTAAGCAGATACTCCGCGCATCATCCAGAATGGAAGACATGACACTCAACCAATTGTTGACCAGAGCCCATGCTATCATGATTGATGAAAAAGAGGCTGATGAACCAGAGGCCACAGTCGTTCAACCAATTGAAGTCAGAGGATTCAACCCCAGCTATCCATCGCCATGGCAATGTCACCTGCTTTCGTACTGCTATCAACACGAAGAAATGCGCAGCGGGTTGGTGCGAAAGGTATGTCTTGATCTACGATGTTTCCAATGTCATAAAGTAGGTCACATTGCCTCTAACTGTCCGGGAAATGGAATGGGGGACACAACATCAGCGCCGGTCTCTTCCCCACACCGAAAGATGCGCTTCCTGTGAATAAGGTGCACATCAATGGAATAACACGTACCATTTTAGTAGATTCGGGCTGCTCTCGGTCACTCACTCATGGTTCGATTTGTCAGCGGTGGAGCAGACAAAAGATGGATGTACTAACAGCTGATGGAAAGGCTCTCAGAAGCCAGGGAGTTGGAAACATCAAACTCAGTATCAACAATGGTGACCACGTCACAGTGTGTTGGTCGTGGACAGTGCATTATTAGGTTTTGACCTGCTCCTTGGGATGGACATTATTAAGGAGCTGGGCGGCATACGCATCACAGAGGATGGCGAAATCAAGTTTTCTAGTCTGCCCATCTATGCTGCTTTGAGGATCAACAGGCCCGACTTTAGTGCAGAGTTTGACCAAAGGATGAAGACATGGACAGCACTGTGGAAATGGTCAGAAAATAACCCACCAGAAAAGCTCCAGAACAGAGTGTCAGAGTACTCGGTGCTCAAACGCGCCAAGGAAGAATACCAGCGTGAATTGCAGGTGTGGCTGGACAACGGAAGAACAAATGAAAGGTGCGCCCTGTACTAGATTATAGAGAACTGAACGAACATGTAGACACATACACAGCTCATGCTGATGTGTGTTCACAAAAATTGAGAGAATGGAGAAGAAAGGGGTTCAATGTCTCTGCGATTGACCTTCGAAAGTCCTACTTGTAGGGACATGTGCACCGGTCACTGTGGCCATTTCAGACGGTGATCCTTAATGGGAGGAGATACTGCCTAATGTGAATGGGATTCAGGCTCAATATGGCGCCGGCCATCATGAAAGCCATCTTGGATGCTGTACTATTCAAGGATGAGACAATTCGTCAAGTGACATCAGCATACATTGACAACATCTACATCAACGAAGCCTTAGTGCCCACTGCACAGGTGAGAAAGCATCTTGCTGACTTTGGGCTCGAATGTAAGAACCCAGAACGACTGGAGGACGGTGCTCGAGTGCTTGCCTTGCAGGTCTGGGGGGAGCACAACGTACTTTACTGGAAACGTGGAAGCAAGCCCCCAGACACATGACACGACACAGCGTGTTCTCATTATGTGGAAAACTGGTGAGACATTTTCCTGTGGGTGATTGCAGCTGCATTTATCAAATGTAGGGTGACTGCTGTCTCTTCCAGCTGGGATGGCAAAACAAATGAGGCTCCCCTTAGAGACATGATAGCGGAAGTCATTACCAGGGTGTGTCAAGACGACCCCGTATGTGGTAAATGGTGTGTTGATGGATATGAATTTGACGTCTGGGTCAACGCAAGCTACCTTGCAACAGGAGTGTCGCTTGAAACATAGCATCATGTGAAAAATACTTAGGAAGTAGATAATTGTAATGGATTCTTTTTGTTGCAAATAAATAGTTTCTTTATGTGTAACTTGTAGTTTTATCATCTAATATTCCTAACATTAGATAAAATTGCAAAAATGTATATACAAATTTATATGATGATAAATTTTTTTTTAATTATTTCATTGTCATCTCTGAGTAGTCTAAAACAAATATCAACTACTTCACATATGAGGGAATTATTTTACCAAAGGCTATAAAACACAAAACCAAAGAAAAACATTCTCATTTACCTCAGACTTCATTATTTCAAGACATTCTTCAGTACTTCGAGCGATCTGGTGAGACTTTAATCTTACCAATGCTGGGAGATTACCAGGAGGAGTTTGTGTAGCAGCAGTTACCATTTTAACAGACTGTTCCAAATTCTCATCGCCCAAAGAGAATTGAACTCTGCTACTAGGATCTTTAACAATAATAAAATAACAATTAAAGTAAAAACAGTTTTTTGTAGTTTTATGGCTTCATTAATAATCAGATAATAACATTCTTTAGTCACAGATAATAAAAAGATTTCATAGTAAAGCAATTCATTATTAAGTTATTAAGCCAACTTTTACTTTTGCTTAGAGGAATTTTATATACAGTAAGGTTTCTAAGAAAAGTGTCTTGCATGCAGAAATATATTTTCTGGGTTACCAAAAGAATCAAAATAGTCACACAGGAAAAAAGTAGAATTTTAATATAGGTTTCTCTTACCATTTCGGTTGTTATCTAAAGAATTGTTTGGTTCAACATCACCTATGACTGTTTGGGATTCTTCTGAAGCATACTGACATTTCTGGAATTCTGTGTCAATGTCCACATCAAAAAAGATATACTTGAGCCCAAGGAGTACAGCCAACAGCAATGTAATGGCATGGTCAGCATTTAACATCCTATACAAATCAGAAGATGTTTTCTGATACATCATTGGCAATAAATGCAAGCTAAATGATAACAGGTCAATTAAAATCAAATACCAAAAAATTGCTATAACCTAAAGTGTAGAATATTTCATAAAAAGTCAAAGAAAATTAAATTACTGTTGGGGTGCACCCACCTTCTCATCAAAATGGACTGATCTCTCTACTACTAATAGGACAGTTCTATAGAGTTTTGGGAAGATCAGGTGACCATCACACTTCCGTCTCTCTACCGGAAGATACAGTTGGACTTTATACTCTTTCTGATTGTTACTGACTAACCTGCGTTCGTTTGACTACTAATCTCTCTGTTGTAAATATCTCTTCAGATATACTAGTATTTTTCCCTACGCATGTGTTTGTCCTTATTTCAATACACGCACGCAGAAACATTCAACATCTCAACAATTACGTTGAAGTCAAGCATATTTATAATCACAGAATATTATTTTAAATATATTTTACAATTTTATCAATCTAATTATTGCTGTTCAAGTTAATTTAGCCAAGATTATTATTTTTACTGGTGATTAGACCAAAGTTCTACCAACAGTGCTTATTGTAGGTGGTTAGTCAATGTGCAAAATGACATTTTAAATGTTAAAAGATGAGTATGCGGATAGCCACCGAAAGAAGGTGATAGATTTACCTGCTCAAGTAGAATTGCCATAAAGCAATTTCAGGCTTGACCTTATGAGCAATAGTTGGATCAATGATGATCACCTCCTCCTTTGAGTCATCAGTTTTAGCATTTTTTGCCAGCCACCAGCTGTGGGCATAGACAAACATCAAGCCTGCAGACTAGAACAAAAATGAAAGAAAGCTAAGTACAAGCAATAACATTACCAGACATTAGTCAAATGTCACATCAGGAAAACTTTAAAAAAATTGACAAAACATATTTCCTTGTTGACAATAACTTAGTTAATATAGTGAAGAAAATGGCAACTTACCTTGTCAAACCAAGCGACAGTGTGTCGCGTGTATCTTATGATGGCAAATGTGGCGAAAAAGAAAATTACTTACCAAAAAAAAGGGCACGTATTCCACATGACATGCTGAAGATGGAATATTTTAGAAACAAGTCGGTTACAGGAGATGCAACAAAAAAGTATTTTGATATGCAAAAATTGAGCGTTCTCTCCTAGTTGTCATCGAATGAAAAAAATGCCGATAAAAGCAAAAGAGAAAATAAAATTCAGGGGATTTGGTCTACCACGTTCATTGGAGAGTGAGTTATTTTTCTGCCTGGTTACGTGCATCGTGATTTGTGAGATAATACCTGCAAATCAAGTTTTCAGCATTGCTTTCTGCCCCCGATGCCAAGTCTGAACTTACAGTGATTTATTCTCTGCGTTGTGGAAGTAATCTACAACAAATGTTTCCTTTGCAATCCCAGATCGCTTACAGTTAATCATATTGGCATTCTGGGCAAGAATATCTGCCATAAAATGAGCTGGAATTTATTATATGCAGAATTCTTAGGCAACTCTTCAAAAGCTGATGTGGGATGAACTCCTTGATCAGATAAAATGTTTCCAATGTAATGTGACTGTAATGCATTTGATTAAACAAATTAAAATTATGTTTATTAACAACTGAAAAAGTAAGTTAAAGTACAATGTAATAAACTGTCAGAGATAACATGAAAACATATTTTCTTATTTCAAATTTGATAATTTTATGTTTTGTAAATCTAGATTTGTAACATCTTTGTTTACAGTATTAAAATTTACATTTTCTAATATGTACTTTGTTGATAAAAGTAATGTGAGACATTTAGAAATCAGCAGTAGAGTTCACATAGTACAGCAAATTCAGGCATTGAATATAGATTTGTCCTAGATATCCTGTATACAAACAGGAGATGGACAAAATAATTAAAACACCACTTTTTATTTAACTATTTTTCTAGTCTCAAGAAATTCAAAATGGTTTGGATCTGTATGTATCCATATGCATTATGCATGCCTTGTACTTTATGATACATCCCTCAATTTTTCAGATATTTATATTTAAATAAATTAAAATGTATGACCTATCTGATTTCCAGAGAGAACAAATTGTTGGAGTGTAGATGGCTGGAGCTTCAGCTACTAAAACTACTGAATTATTTAACGTTTTGAAAGGTAGAATCTCTAAAATTGTGTTGGCATCCCAAAACCAAAGTTAAATCAGCTCTTACTCTACCACTCGTCCCTTCAGCCCCTCAACCTCCGGCGTCTTCCTCTTTGGGTTGAGGCGCCCACTCGGTCTGAACCGAACTCAGGGGTAGCTGGCCACATGCTCCCTGAGTACCCGTAGATTGTTCGATCAGCCACTGGCCAAGTTCCGCCTGCTGCCCACGTTGTGTTAGTTTTTAGATCCAGTAAGCGGGGTGTTGTCCATACGTTCACGGTCGATTGGGGACGTAGGCATGGCTGTGAGGGTGGGCGGCAGGAAAATTAGAATGTGGCAAACAAGGAAATAATATCTGCAGAACCTGAACAACAATGGGTAAAATATTGATGTCTTTTATATAAGAAAACAACAACAGTAGAAAGACTTTACAGAAAGGATAGAAAAGAAATTAACATAAGAACAGAGGACCACTCCACTACCAATTATACCAACAGAGAGAGGTGTGTGTGTGTGATTAACTTGTTCCAAATCAACTTGGGAGGATATATGACTCGTAATTCCAGCCCTACGTGGAAATGTAGCTTTTCAGTTGGTTGTCATAAGTGACAAACGTTAAGTTTCAGCGACTTTTCAATGTGACTGCTACAATGACGATATTTCTTGAAGTCCTTATCTCTGACTCGCCACTGTACCGACTCACTGCAACGACAGTCTCTCTCTCTCTCAACGTCACTCTCGTCTAATGCCCAAGTCTCTCCAACTCAGCAAAACTCGTGTTTATATAGCAAACCTAAGGTTATAAGCCAGGTTGTTCAAGTGCTTAACATGAGTGTCGCCATAAGCAAAGTTTAAATTCAGATCTATTTCAAATCTCTTAGTGGATAAAATTAATTAGTTCAATGTTCATTTCAATTGTCTTTTCGATGACCAAATTCAGCGGATACAACTTATGTTTAGATCAGATTTCGCTAGCGGTAAACATACACTGATCTTACCTCCCCGGTCCAATTTACTTCAATATGTTTTTATCAAAAATATTATTTTCGTCTATTTTTTTAATGACCCAAATTAAACATCGCCTCCTGCCCTTTTGCATTTGTTTATAAACTAGTCCTCGCCAACCCGATTTTAAATTTATTCTTTATCCATCAGCCATCTCAGGTTTCATATATCATTGTTCTAGATTCTTTCCTATTAATAGCGCTGACACAGTTTGTAACTTTCACGAAAGATCGTGTTTTCCATCTTCAATCAATAAACGTTATATTTGCGTGTGTGCATTCATGTGCATCAACCTCTCTCTGTTACATTACAAGCATTATGCTAAATGGAATGAAAAATGCTAAGAGATAGACTGCAATAGTGAAATGTATTGTCTAAAAACCATTGAACTACAGCTGCTAAAGTGACAGCAGCACTAAACCACCACCTTTCCAACCATGTGTCAACCAAAACCATTCATCATTAGCTTCATAAAGCTGGATACCATTAGAGGGCTTCAATTGTTAAACCACTCCTATCCCACATCAACACTGATAAGTAGAGAAAGTGGTTTCTAGACTATCAGAAGTGGGCAATAGCCCAATGTCATCTCTGATAAATCATCATTCACCATTTTTTTCCCCATTTCAGGTTGAAGACAGCCCAAACAAATCTTCAACCCTGTTTGTCGCCTACCTTGAAGCATGGAGGTGATGATTTGGCCAGTTATATCACGGAATTCTCATGGCCCTTTAGTTGTGCTATTTGGTAGAATTAATGCCAAGCATTATCTGAGTATTTTGCCTGATCATGTCTATCCTATGGTACAAGCATTGTTCCCTGATGGTAGAGCAGTCTTTCAGGATGATAATGTACTGAATCACATGCTTAATATTATTTAAAATTGGTACAAAGTGTTAGACATTTTGACGGTCGTTTCAAGTATAGAATCCAGAGGTTAGCAGTGAATATTTGGAGCAAAGTAGGAAAGCGTAGTTCTTCCTTCTGTCACCTTTGCCGGACAAGTTGGCACTGGTCATTCGGGTAGGGTAAACAAAAATGGCCGCCTTTATACACGACGAATACAATGTTCTGTGGCTTCTGATTGGTTAACCTTCTATTGGTAGACTATAAAGGGAGTTAAGTCATTTGAACTAACTCACTAGTTACATAACATATACACAAAAAACTGTAACACCCCCCCTTATTTTGGGTATGTTATGGAATCTTCCTTCAAAATATTAGTAAAGTTAATATTAATATGTAACAAATACTTTAGTATTCCAAATTTTTTTTAGTATTCCAAAATTAATATCCACAAAAATCAGTCATATCATTTTGTCCACAATTAAGTACTTCCGGGTTAATAAAACATGAATAACAATATTATAAGTTTGGGTTGTGATCATAACAAAAAGTGGAAAGAATTGTTACTTTACCCATAGCTGGGACCCATTAAAACAGTTACTATCACTCCGGGTCAGAGTGATCCTGAGAATCATTTAGAAGAGGATTGGGTTAAAAGTAGGACTATTTACATTTATACCCTGAAACTAAGGACTCACATTCATGCCAAAAACTGAACTGACGTTTCTTAAGACAATAACCAATGGATGCAGTTTTACGTCCTACCCAGGACTAATAAGGACCTTATAGGGGCTTAATGGATGCAGTTTTACGTCTTGCCCAGGACCAATGAGGACCTAACAGGGACTTAATGGATGCAGTTTTATGTCTTGCCCAGGACCAATGAGGACCTAACAGGGACTTAATGGATGCAGTTTTACGTCTTGCCCAGGACCAATGAGGACCTTATAGGTCAGTACCAAATATGGCAGAAGTGAAAGCCCGTAATTTGAATTTCGTAATTGGTTTTGTAAATAAATCCACCATATTATTTCCCAATTGAACATATTCAATTTGTACCGTTTTCTTTTGTACTTGTTCCCTAACAAATTGATATTTGATATAGATATGCTTTGATCTTTAATGTATTATTGGATTTCTGGCCAAAGCAATACTGGATTGATTATCGCAGTAAATAATTATTGGCTCAGTTATTACCAGTGTTGTAACTGTTTCTATTAGTAATTTAAGAAAAATAGCCTCTTGTGTTGCTTTTGATAATGCAATATATTCAGCTTCACAAGTAGAAAGTGAAATCATCCCCTGTTTCTTCGATTTCCAGCTGATTATTGGGTTACCGTCAGCTAGCTTAAAGCAATAGCCTGTTATACTCTTACGATCTGGTGAGTTGGCCCAATCAGCATCACAAAATCCTTCCAATTTTAATGGTTTATCTGCTTGTCGAAATACTAGGCACCGACTCTTAGTTCCCTTTAGATAACATAATACTTGTTTATCCCTTGTTAAATGCACAGTCCCCGGTTTATTTAAGTGTTGGGACAACTTAGTAACCGTATAGCAGATATCTGGCCTGGTTGATGTCATCACGTAAAATAAGACTTCCGACCAATGTTCTGTATTCTTTCTTCCATGCCGCTATACCATCTTCCTTACTTATAATTGTGTTTAAATCCATTTCACATGGAGTAGTTCTTGTTTTACAATTTTGCATGTTAAATTTAGATAAGAGTCTTTAAAGCCCTTGTTCTTAATATCATAATTCCTAGTCTGATCAGTTTGAGGAACTGGTTTTCTGAATTTTTTAAATGACATTCTCAATTGCATTACGTTAT